TCAGTATTTTTAGTCTTTATTTTACAGTTAAATTATAGGTTTATCAAATAAAGTCTAATGTTACAACTAATCGGGGATCCCTTTAAACTAACAGAAATTTAGTTCCTGTTAACAATAAGTGTTAATTAGGTGTCAACAATAGCCATGTGATGTGAGTATCAGTCACATGGAGGCAGGGCTTAAAAGCCTGAATTCTGCCTGAAACTCTCAGACTGAAGAAGTCTCTTGGAGGAGAGACGAAATGTTTCATTAAAGAAGAACCCGTCCAGAGGACCTATACAATTTTTTTCTTTTTTAACAGAAATTTAGTTTTGCTGCAAACGGGAAAAACACAGAAAGTTCTACAGAACTCATCATCATATCCGTGGCCCGAGTTAAATGGACACTTGCTCTGCTGTCTGACCCCAATCCTGAGTCCGTTAACATTTTATTAACATTTGCATGAGCCGATGTGACACAGTCCCCTGCTGAGCCCACTGAGAGAGGAAATACAGAGCAGATAGAATTTTTTTTATTTTATTTAGAAATTTATTCATTTCACTTGTAACAATTTTATACACAAAAAAACATGCAATCAAAATAAAATAAAATAAAATGAAAGGCAGCAGAAGAAGAATAAATCTGATAATATTTGCCCCTTTTTTATCCCCAGAATATGTTCGAAATGAAAGAAAATTACAACAAAAACAAAACAACTGAAAACAAACAAAAAAACAAAGCTAAATTTAAAACACTAAATAAAACAACACTTTGCATGAATTCACTTATAATTCTCCATATTTCTTCAGAACAATATATTTTATCATTGTCTTCAATATAAACAAAGATCTGGCATTTTAACCTCATCTTCCAGACCGTTCCACAATCTTATTCCCTGGATTAAAGTGGATCGCTCCTTCAGGTTCGTTTGAAACCAGAGTTTCACAAATATTTCTATTCCCTTAAGATAATAACAGCTCTGTCTTTTAACAAAGTTTACTTGAATGTTGGAAGATAACACACCTTTATGAGCTCTGTACATTAACAGCAAAATATTATAATCAACAAAATCACAGAATTTCAATCATTTCATTTCATAAACAATATATTTGATGGATGGATGTAACTTTTTCTAGTAATAATTATTATAGCTCTTTTCTGTAAAGTAAAAATATGATTTGTGATAGTTTTGCAAGCTTTACCCCAGACTTCAATATAGTAAATTAAATGTGGAACAATTATAGCGTTATACAACATAAATAGTGCTTTATCATAGAACAGTTCTCTTACTTTGTACAGGACTCCAATTGATTTGGCTAGTTTTGTTCTTAAATTATTTATATGATTTTTCCATGTCAGTTTTTCATTAATGATGACACCTAAAAACTTCACTTCACTGACTCTACAGATCATCAATTTTAAATGAAACATCTACAGTTCTCTTACTGTTACTGAATTTCATATAATTTGTTTTGTCCGAGTTTAAAAAAAGAAAAAAGATAAAATCAGAAATAACAGATTGTGAACAGCTTCAGCCTGACGTGTGTTTGAAGCTTTTAAACTAATCAAATCGGAGTGTTTTAAATATTTTAAACTATTTTAATTTATTAACATTTTAAGAAGGCAATGCCATGTTTAAGCAAGCACACAAAACTTTTGAACTTTGGGTAAAATGTACGAAACTTAAACACATTGATTGATTGTTGTTCTTGGTTTAGAGCTGAAGTCGACGTGAACAATGCTCACCTTTGAACTGTGGCAGGAACAAGCGCAGATGTCGTCCCGTATGTAAAATCTTGTCTTGGAAAAGATCTATCTTGTTCATGAATAAAATCTGAAACAACAAAAAGGTAAAACAAAAATCTAACTGAAAGGTCATAAAAGCAGGAAAACAGTGACTTAATGTACGGCACCTGCATCTCTGGAATAACAGTTAAATTTAATGTTGCCTTAAAAAATCAATATCTGTATTGATGAATGCATCGGGTGTCGATGGATGGTGATGGGGACGTGTAATTTCAGAGCAACTCAGTGACACCTTTCATAAATCTGTCTTTTTGTTGTGTTTGCTGTCCTGCTCTTCTGCTCAGCTGCCACCGTGGTGCACGAGGAACTCGGCTTTTGTAATTGAGCAATTAAAAACTACGTCTTTGCTCCTCACTTCCTGCCCGTTTGATCACAAAGCTTCACACGGGCACAAAAAAAAGTCCCAGGTGGTAACGAGGGAGGGATAGAGAAGAGCAGATTTTCAGTAACTAAGATCCAGAGCAACACCTGGGTGTGTGATCATCACTGACCAGCCACAGCGGAGAGCTAATTGAGGTGGAGGCTACAAATTTTCCTCCCACATGAGAAAAAGGGAATCATTAAACACTTTTGTTTAATGAGCCTGTTAGCTGTGTTAATGGACCCACACACAAACGCGTCACACGCAGCCATTTTAATTGCCTTTTTGGCTTTGATGATGTTTTAAATACATATTTGTATGGTTAAAAGTAAGAATTGCATCAACAAAAGAGACTGTTCGTTTCTTATGTGGAAGGAAATTTGTAACCGTGATGTTATTTTACACAAACCTTCAAAGTTCCATTCATAAACTCTAAATTTGTCTTCATTTAAAAGAAGACGTGTTCTCCTTTTTCCACAGCTTAATCACATTTATTACGGAGAGTGTTCCTGGTCAGAGGGTTCAGGAAAACACGAAGGAGTTCATGGCAGGTGACACATCAACCTGCAGGGACGCGCATCTTAAGTGGACTTCAATCAAAAGTAAATTACACAAACTCATTACGCAGTCGTTTTAATGGGATCATTTAGCGGAAGCTGGATTGGAAAAATAAAGAGAGGAGAAAACGTCACCTCGCTGAACGTTAACTTCATTATAACCTGCTGTTTAACTGAAAGTGACAGATGAGGAAGCGTTCTGTTTGGAAACGGCTTTTATCAAACACATTAGTGTTACTTGCCCTCAGTTGTGGGAAAACCAAAATCAAAATGTTGTCATGTTTCTCTTTGACTAATCCAAGATTACTGACCGTCTGAACATCAAGTTGTCTTGATCATATGGTTTTATTAAGCAAAACCACGAATAACGCTTTGTTTTATTAACTAATGCTTTAAAACCCCAAAAATCCCCAAAGAGAAGCATTTTTTAATAATATTTTTATTTTACCATTCACACTTTTTTTATTTCTAGAAATGAAACACTAGAGATGTGACGTTCGAGAACGATCCGTATCTTTTGAACAGCTCTTTACAACGAACGATAGGAGCAGAATAATGGGCAGTAACGAGACCTTTGTAGTTTTATTTCTTTTATTCCTCATAAAATCTTTATTTTTTCGTACTTAAATTGCTCCCGCTTTGCTTTTTCACGGAAAACAGGCGGAGTTGTGGAGTACAGAAGCTCACGGTGAAAGGGGGAGCGGGGTTTCCGCTTGACAAACACATGGTACAACCCACGTGACGGGATTACGCCATTACGTACGGCTACGTGACGACGTAATATACTCAAAATCGAACGGCTCTTTTGCACAGCTCTACGAAACCAAGGGCTCCCCAAGATCCGGATCCCTTCAAAGAGCCATTTATACCATCTCTATGAAACACAAAAAAAGGAAGAGACAATTTATTTTTTATGAGATTTTGAAAACTGGAAAACTAACTCTTCACTTCAAAGTTGTAGCACAACTAACTCTGGGAGTGTCAAACATGGTGGCCTAAGCTCATCTGAGATGGACTGACACAAAGTGGAAAAGTGACTGACGAGTCCACATTTCAAATCTTTTTTGGAAAACATGGGTGTCTTGTCCTCTGGGCCAAGGAAGAAAAGGACTTTCTGGATTGTTATCAAACCCAAGTTCTAAAGCCAGCCTCTTACACCACCTGTTACAGCAGCGTGGCTTCAAAGTAAATACTTGATACTAAACTGAGCTGTCTGCAATCCAGACCTGTGTCCCATTGAAAATGTATAACCCAACTAATCAAAGTGTAAAAGAGCTAAATTGATGCTTCGTCACACTGACAGCCTCACAGAATCACTACACAGAGAAGATGATGATAAAATCTTCAGTTTTGATCTTTTTTACCCCCTAACTCATTAAAACACTGGAATATTTACTTTCTGCCTAATGCATGTCACCCCTTGGAAAGTGCCACTGTAACAGTAATTATTAATTAACTACACACTGAGTTACTACACTTTCAGTCTTATTTAACTGTAGATTTCAGTTTGTTAATGTTAATAATGAATCTTCTTCTTACACCAGAATTAGTCATGGAGTTCGTCAGGGTTCAGTGCTTGGACCAATCCTCTTTAATTTGTAGATGGTTCCTTCAGGTAAAATTATTAAACTGCATGGGATAAATTTCCATTGTTACACTGATGATACTCAGTTATATTTATTCATGAAACCTGATGAATCCAACCAGTAAGCATGTCTCAAAAAACATGGATGACTCTTAATTTTCTGCTTCTAAACTCAGATAAGACAGAGGTTATGGTTTTTGGACCTGAACATCTTGGGGATCAGCTTTTCTGGATGGCATTAATCTGGCCTCCAGTTCTAATGTAAAGAACCTTGGTGTTATTTTTGACCAGGACATGTCTTTTAACCCCCACATTACAATGTTACAAGGACCGCCTTCTTCCACCTGCGTAATATCACTAAAATTAGAAACATTTTGTCCAAAAATGATGCGGAAAAACTGATTCATGCATTTATCACGTCTAGACTGGATTACTGTAATTCTTTATTATCTGGACATCTAAAAAACTCTTTAAAGAAGTCTTCAGTTAATCCAAAATGCTGCTGCTAGAGTTTTAATGAGAGTTGGAAGGAGAGATCATATTTCTACAGTTTTAGCTTCTCTCCACTGGCTCCCTGTCAAATTTAGAATAGAATTTAAAATATTACTCATAACATACAAAGCTTTCAACAGCCAAGCTCCATCATATATTAAACATCTTATTGTTCCATACTTTCCAAACAGAGCACTTCGCTCTCAGACTCCAGGTTTACTTGTGGTTCCTCGAGTTTCTAAAAGTAGAATGGGAGGCAGAGCTTTCAGTTATCAAGCTCCTCTCTTGTGGAATCAACTTCCAGTTTCTGTCCATGAAGCTGGCACTCTGTCTACTTTTAAGATTAGACTGAAGACTTTCCTTTTTGATAAATCCTATAGTTAGACTTAGGTTTCCTGAATTATTCTTCATTTCTGCTGCTATAGACTTAGACTGCTGGAGCACAAACTGAGCACATTTCCTCACTCTGCTGTTGTCTTTAGTCTCTCTTCTCTACATGTTTATTGTAATTATTTCTATCAATAACATGTTTATTTTCTTTTTGTCTCTTTTCCAGAAAGGTGCACCTGGACCAGTCCCGGACCAGTTCTTCTGTGTTTGTCTGTGTCTCTTTCCTGTCCCTCAACCAGCCGGTCGAGGCAGATGGTCTCCTGTCCTGAGCCTGGTTCTGCTGGAGGTTTCTTCCTGATTAGCAGGGAGTTTTTCCTCTCCACTGTTTGCTCAGGATGGGAGACTGTGATGAAGTGATTCAACACAATCTGCTGGTTTCTTCTTTAGATTGTTCTTTTTATGTACAGTGCCCTGAGACAACGTATGTTGTGACTTGGCGCCATATAAATAAACTTGAACTTGAACATTATTAGTAAATCTAATGAATCTTCACTTAGTAAATGGGCTGACGTTTGATGTCAGTTTCTGCCCCTCATCAACTACACCAAGCTTTGAAAAGGTAAAGAAGCAAAACACTTTTTCCAGGTGGGGAGCCATAGAAGTGTGTGATAGTGCACTCTGTAGACAAATAGAAACATGGAGAAGCGGTTCACAGCCGATGTCTCCCTTTAAGCAGCACTTTATTAAAAAGCATAAAATATATTAAAACATAGCTCTTTCAGGACAACGCCCTTGTGATTTTGCTTCCTTTTTTTTCCTGAGAGGAAACATCAACTCTACAAAATCCCTTAAAATCAAACAGAGTTACATTGTGTGTCCGTCCTCAGGAGGTTGGGGACGTGATGAGTTTCCTACCATGGACGTGCTGCGGAAGAAGACGTTATTGCAGATGGAGGAGAAAAGTTTCATGCTCTCTTGAAGGCGGTTCTGCAGAGAAAATAGTTTTTTTTAGCTTCAAACAGTTGCGGAAACACAAAGAGCCGAAGCGTTGTCATTTTAAACTTTAGTTTTTAATGGGTGAACACATTTAGACATCAACACTTAGTAGTGAGTCAGACCAGGAAAGCATCTCGGTCTGTTTTGTACAACATGAACATTTGTGGAGGAGTGATTGGGTGTAAACCTTACCACGGAGGGGTCTTCCACCAGCGTCATGTCGTATCCGCTCAGTGACACCACAAACAGAACCGATCGGACATCCTCGAAACAACTGATCCACTTCCTCCGCTCGGTTCTCTGACCTCCAACATCATACATCCTGAAACAGAAACGGGGAGCGTTGTGAGAACTGATGGATGTTATAACGTACACAAACACACCCACAACGTTAGAATATATACTAAACTGACAAAAGACAAAATGTTTATCGTTCATCAGGACCTCAGCGAGGGCACAGCTGCATTTTTGTGAAACAATAACAACTCGTTGTTACAGGTGAGTCCTTCCTCAGTCTGCAGCTGCCAGGAAAAATTGAATCCTGATCAATAACAGTTCATATTCTTCTGAAAACATATGTTTTTTTGTTTTTTTTTACCCATGAAGAAGAGTGTGTCTCCACCCACCACCCTTTTCAATTTTGATCAAGACAATCACAACTCGGCAGCAGCGAGCGTGTAAAAGGTCAGCGTTCTTCAGAGACACGAAACAAAAGCACGACAGGAATAACAGCAGACAAACACATCAGTCTGTCCCTCTTCACCCATTTCCAGAAGCCAGATGTGTCATCGCCGTCTTTCCTGTCGAGCATCTACCGACTTAATGTTAGTCTTTATTGAGAGGGGAGCTAAACACGTGGAAAGACACGGCGCACAGCGGGGCAGCGGCAGAGTAACAAATGTCAGATTTACAATGGAAATTTTCCACAGAGACTGAAGCCACGGAAAAGGCTGATGTTCATTACACAAACCCTGTGACAACTGGTTCACAACGGAGCCCTAATAACACAGAAGTCATAAGAATGTGCCTGCTGTGCTGAGCTCATGTGTCTTCAACAAATAAAAACAACACCAAGAATTCAAATGAGCAGAAACCTCGTGGAGAAAAAGACTTAATTCTTAAAGCTTAAAATCTATTTACTGATTTAATTATCAAAACAAACACCAGCTAAAGCAGCTCAAAAAGATGTGCAACTGCTGAGGATGACTCTCAGCTATGTCTAACCCTGAGCTCATTAAATCTCAGTCACTTAACTTGATATTTGGTCAGTTAGCTTTTGCGGCCATCTTGAAACAGATTTTTAATCTGCCAGCAGACTGTTGACTCCAACAGGCAACGCCAAAATGTCTTGCAACGTGTCGCACTCAAGAGTACCTGTTGGGAACGACTCTCAGCTACTACCACACAAAATATTAGCTCATATCTGCTAAATTAAGTTTGTAACTATCTTTATGCAGGCTAATACTAATAGCTGTGGCAGCCATCTTGAAATGAGGTAATTCTAAAGAAATTATCAGATGTACATCTGCTTTCAATTTTCATTTAAAGCACGTGTCAAACTCAAAGCCCATGGGTCTGGCCCACCAAGGGGGGCATCACCCCCCACCCAAAGAAAAACACACACACACACATATACATATATACACACACATATACATACAGTGGTTTGCAAAAGTATTCATACCCCTTGAACTTTTCCATATTTTGTCACATTACAACC